AGCTCTTGAAAGACTAAAAGCATGTACAAAAATAATAGATGTACAGTAAGACAGAAAGCAGAACGAATTACTGCCATTGGGTGCTTCTTCAGTCCAATGCCAGGAGTTCTTTTTAGTACAACCTCATGCTAACAAAGGCTGTCTAAGCATGTCAGCTCCCACAAGACACTGTACCATGGAGGCTGAGAGTGTGGAAGTGTTTAGAAGAGCCTTTCTACTGCCTCACCCTACAGAACTGCCAGTCTTCCAGAGCCAGCTCCTTGCCCTGAGCCCTCTTACCAGTTCCACAAGCCACTGGGCTGGCAAAGGTAAGGGAGTGTCAATACAATTTCCAGTGCTCATTCTCCACCCTTAACTTTGATACTCTCCTCAGGACATAAAGATTATCCCCCAGGCTGGAGGACACTCCTTCTATCTACAAGCTACCTCCACTTCCAGGCACCTTCGAAGACGTTCTTTACACTGAGGGAAAGTCTCTCCTTGCCTGGCACCGCAACTGAGCGCTGGACAAGCAGGAGGCAACAGCATTTTGGCCAAGTCTGCCAGGACAAACCTGCATCTGACACAAGCCATGAGAGCTCACGCAGAGCAGAGAGTATTCCTGGCTTGAAACATCTTGTCTGAAAGTGCCAGACATTGTAAACTGCACAGAGCTGAATTTTCTGACCTTGAAGGGATGAAAAGCTGAGTCAGCCTTGCTGTGAGTCAAAGCTCTCAGGATTCCAGATATTTGAAACCTGTCTTTCATGCACCAAACAGGAAGGGAAGAGCTATCTGGATTGTGTTTTAATTTATTTCCTCTTTTCCTCAGAACCAAAGCTTTTCTGAAAGTTTCTTAAAAATAAGTAAAATTTTGCTTCAGGAAAGCATATTTTGATACCCAAAGAGTGATTTTTGTGATGATCCTTCTGACATTATATATACATATAAATATGACCATACCAAACTACTTGAAGGATTTATAGTACACACTTTAAGCAGTTTTTTTAATAGATATGAAGCAAGGATAGATACTTTTATTTTTAAATCTACAGAAAACATAAAACCGAATATGAGGAAGACAGTGCTCCACAGGTCTCTGTCCAAGAGCATACAGGCCTATGCAGCAAGCAAGGTACAGGTGGCCTTTAAGCGCTGACAAAACAGAAAATGACTACAGTAACAGCTTGCTGGAGTTAGAAACACAGCTGAACTCCACCTTGCCAAAGCCTCCAGAGGCTGAGAAGCCCAAGATGGGAGCTGCCTTTTCAGGAGAATTCTGATGTCAGATATGATGCCCATCCATTGCCACTTTCACCCACTGTATGCCCTGTTCCCTCACTCTCCTTTAGGTTCTCCATCCAGCTCAACTCTTCCATTGATTCCTTCCTTTCCTGTGGAACATCTTGGTCCAGGCTGAGTGACTCATAGGGGAAACACATACAGCTTTCTTATTTTCTGCAGCTAGAATCTGCTTTAATGAGTGTCTGTTTTTACAGGAAAGGAAAAGTCACCTTTATCCTGTCCAGTCCACAGAAATGTTAGTATTTAGAGATAAATTAGCTGCAAGATGATTTTTTGATGTCATCTTTTCATTCATGTATTATTAATTTTGTCCCAGTAACACCAGTATAACATCTCACTGCAAAATGTAAAGATATTTCATAAAACATGGGCCATACTTACAATGCAAAATATAAATATAATATATATTATAATATATAATGTATATATATAAAATACAATATTTCAACAGAGAAACATAATATCTTTTAATACACATTTTTTTTTTCTTTTTAAAAGCAACTCTGGAACTTCAGACATTTTGCCCCTCCCTGAGGATAGAAGCATTCATCATAGACCAGGAAAAAATCAACCCCAGAATTTTGTAAATATTTCTTTCATGACAGCAGCAATGACTTTTACAGAAGGGTGCAAGTAGACTAGGACATGGCATGGGAACTTTTCTAAGTTGTTTCTAACTCCTCAATTATTTTGAAGGAAGTATTTCACCATCATTTTGGAAATGCCACCAATTCTAATCAATACCTGAGAACTTCTGATAGAGATCTGCTTTGACTAAACTTTAAAGGGATGTGTTCCTGTGCACAGCTTCATTCCAGATCTGTCAGAGGTGGGAGGCACAGGACACCCACCCACTGCTCTACTGTAATGTGATCCACAGGGGATAAAGCTCAGATCACAGGGTTCCTCAACTCCTCTTTAGAGAAGAAGGAAAACTTCCTTCCATTGAGGGCATGCTCTGGTCCCCTCTAGGCAGGCTTTGCATTGCCATATGGTGAAAAAAAAACCCTAAGAAGTGTTAGAATTGTACCAACTTCATTGCTGTGGTCAGGTTTTGTCATCAGCTCCTACAGCTGCTTTGGGAAGAACCAAGCTTCTGTTTCTCTCTGCATTGAGTGCTAAGCCATGTAAGAACTACTTAATTGACGATGCAATAAAACCCTTCAGAGCAAAGTAAAGATTAAACAGTAACATCCTTTCAGCTCACTGGTACACGCCCATCTCCAACTCCACGCCAGTGTGATTCTGCACATACAGGAGAACCCTGGACTTCAGATTGACTGCCCAAATTCAGCTGCTTCAGGGAAGAATACATGTATTTACAAAACATACTGCCCTCAGTGATGGTACAAGGCCAGCTGTGAAACAAAGCTGAGGGCAACACAATGCTATCTCACTTGTACCAGTTATGAATCTGCCCCAACAAGAAGCAAAACTGTATTATATCTTTAGTGTTTCTACATTTGGTCATGCTCTGACTCAGTCAATCAAGCTTGCTCTTCATAGTAAGACTCTCTTCATCACTCCATACTTTTCCATATCCTCACATGTAGACCTCAGTGCAACATACAAAAATTGGGCCCATACAGAAATTAACAGGACGCATTCTATAATCGAATTATTCAGCAGGAGTCAGAATCAGACAGCATTACCAAGAATCAAGTAGTGTCATTACAGCTCCATAATTAGCAGGTGTTTCCCAAGGTAAGCAATGCTGTGAGAAGTGAGAGGAATACAGAGTAACAGGAACGTTTTTTAAAGTGTTTAAAAAAACAACATGGTTTGTATTCTTATTATTAGGGGGAAAAATAAATTCTTCACTGGGGACTTCATAGTAGGTCATGCGTCCATTAATACCTTCAAAAGTTGTTCTTTTTCATCCAGGATGTGTCCCCTAAGTTTTAACATTGATCTGAGAAATTCTAGTTGTAACTAAGTCACTTTAAAAATCTAAGAAAATACACTATTTATTATTACTGTCATTGATGATAATAAAAGCATGACATTTAAACCAGAAATATCTTACATCCATGTCTTTTTAACTGTTGTTTTATGATCCCTAAAGCTGCATGTTCAAGGCATTGCTCACCAGCTCTCTTCACACTCTGACACTAGGCAGACATCAGCTGTCCTGCCCTACCCCCATCCTCCTGCTAACTCATCCCTTCTGAGTTTGCCTGATGGGAACACAGCAAGTGCAGGAGACCACTACTTTCATACTGTAAAATACATCACAAATAAATAAAACATCATTCTAGTAATTAATTTACAGTCATTTGCTTTGTGTTTTGCAGTGGGGAAAAAACCCAACAGATGTACCCAGACCATGCTGGAAAAAGCATATATGATTCTGTACAGACTGTCTAATTAAGATATGAGAGCTCTATTCCAGCTTGTGCCAGACAACACCATCACACACACCCCTATGAGGAGTAGTCAGACCTCATTATATTTATTACTTTTTCAAATATAAGGGGCCAAACCCCACAATAAATGTTGATATCACTAAAAAAATTAGCGGCTGCTTTTTTCTTGCTGCACTTTTGAAATATCAACTACACAGGGAGAAACAGAGCCAGAGACCACTCCCTAATTCCTAGTGGACATATTGATCAATTAAAATGACATGTGTCTGGTCTTTTCTTTCCTTCTAATAACAAGCAGCTGAAAGACAATATTTCAAATATGCAAAATCAAACAATAATGTTGTTACATAGCATCCAGCAAGATTAACTTGAAGTTAAGCAAAATAAACCTAGCCTCCAGAAGCAAGACCTTAATACCACATAAACAAATACTAGACATTGTAAAGAATTAATAAATACTGTAGATATGATTTTAACCTGCTTCCTAAATGCAAAAGATAGGTGTTATCTTCTGAAGATAGAGGTGGAAACCTTTTTAATTATTCTTATTATTTTGTTCATAGCAAACACCCTCAGAGTGCTTGAATCTTTGGCTACACCTTTTACTGCAGTTGCAGCAGAAAAAAAAAGCTTGTTTTCCTTCCAGTAAAAGATAGATCTAAAATTCACTAAATTCATCTTATAATTTAAAAAAAAGAGCCAAAGAAAGTAATACAGTAGAAGAGCTTAAAGCTACAATCCTTTCAAAATATTTGGTTATTGTTTGACAATTAGATCTGTTTTGCTTTTTTAAGAATGCCAGTAGAAATAGGACAGTACTGAACCATGTTTGAAATCAATACTGTTTCAGTTGCTTGTTCAGCACCAGTTTGCACAGTATTTTCTGTGCTATCATGCTATGGAAGGCCAATGAAAGTAAATAGGTGATGTTCATGCTATTGAGATAAAATAGACTCAAAGAGAAGATAAAGATAATAGGAATGCTTAAATGAAGGGACAGGGAAAGGAACAGGCTCTGTTTATGGCATTAGAATTGAAAACAGCAATTCTTTCCATTTAAGCAAATCAGACAGTAGCTACTTTAATTGGATTGAGAAATTTAAATATATTCTTTTCAAATATTCAGGCTATTACCATAAATGCAAAGGCAAGTCTAAACATTCAGACTGAAAGCATTTTCTGTAGGCCTTTGTCTTAGCCTGTCTGCCTGAAAACAATATTTAGGCATGCAGCATCTTTCTTCAAAATGATTTTTACAGGGCAAAACCCACACACTTACATTAGGAAAACCTCATAAAACAGGAAAAAATAACTCTGCAATTAAGAACAGCACAATATTTTGCAACTTACCATGTCCTGTTCAAATCATCCTCTTTTGATGTTTACGGCACATCTGTAAGATGCAATACTAGGAGGTGCCTTGTGTGACCTGCTGCATGATGCTGTGACATCAGTTCAGATGATGCAGCTCATTATGGGAAAGACTGCTGTTGCCATGGCAACTGAGATGTGATACGAATCCTTACTGCATTTCCAGGGGAGTCCGAGACAATACGGAAGCCCTTTAAAGAAACAGACAAAATGCAAACAGGCTTTTAAAGTATGGTGCCACAGATTTTAGAGCCCATGTTAGTACATGCCTGTTGTTAAGGAATATTTTAAACAAATTATTCCTATGTGGTGACTCAGAATTGAGATGTATGAGCTATAAATTATTTCTTCATTTAAAACTTAATATCGTGTGTGTCAATTTAAGAACAAATTTTATAAGTCAAATTCGGTTATCATGTAAGGGAACCTTACTTAAAATAAACAGTCAGTAACATGATTTTAACACTAAGGTTCTAAAGACAGTAGTTATTGAACAGTATTTTAAGAAATATGTATTTTCACTCTGCCCCACCCTGCTCCTACATCCAATCTGTCACTTACAAGAAAAATCTTGTTGCTAGGGAAAAACACTTGATAAAATGAGCAGATTTAACACTGTTGAATGAATGACAATGAGTTTTAAAAAAAAATGTCAGGGGGATGACTTTTTATTCAGGAGAGGGTAAAGAAGTTTCTAGCCAACCAAGTAAAAATCTCCTTATCATTTTTCAGCTGTAGGACAAACTGCACTGCCCTCTGCATGCTGAGTAGCCTGGCTTTCATCTGCCCATCAGACAGAGAGATGAGTGGGGATTTTGAAAGCTGTGGGCAAGCTGCTGCCAGCCTCCAGGTAGAGCAGGAAGGCGGCAGAGCAGAGAGCCCCTCCCCACAGCCTTGGTGAAGGCCTGGGGCTGGAGGCTGAACCTTCTGCACCAGGAACCTGCTCACATCCTCTGCTCAGAGCACTGATGGGAGAAGCAAAGGCTGTGTGAACAAGTACTAAAAGGAGCTGCCTGGAAATTAAAATTCACAACTAAAGAACCACCAGCACATTTTTGGACACTTGCCAGTTCTGTTTGGATGAGAAAAGTTTCTGGCAAAAACTGCTTTCCCTAGCCATGAAAATCCCTTTCTACATGGTAGGAAAGAAAGCACACAAAAGGCTGGACCCTCTATGCTTGATATGCTGAAGTCCAGAGTAAAACAAAAGCCCAAGTTGAAGCAAGAAGCCCAAATGCCTTGAAGATGTCCAATAATGTCCAATGTGTTTTAGGCAGTGCCTAAAACACATTGCCTAAAACCCTTCAGTCCATTAAACTTTAGCTTGTGAGTAAAAATTTTGATTATTGATTTCAAAAGAAACCATAGGAGAAAATTACACTCTCTTAGCCACCACCCACCTCTTAAAGAAAGAAGATACTTTGATACTTTTTGATTAATGAATTAAAGTCTCTCCATAAACCTAGGAAATGCCATAGACTTCCTAATTAGTGCTGGCTTGACACTGTATGGTCTCATTTTTGACAGTTTCTCTCATTACTACTACTATGTCATTCTAAACAATACAGTAAAGCTCTCAAACTGACTCAGTATCAAACCCAGTCTAGTGATCCATAATGAAGAGTTACTCACAAAAGAGCTACAGCTCTAGGTTTTTGAATGTTTAAAACTTCCTTAGGTCTCTGAAAATGTAATTCACAATTTAGCAGGGGACAACACGACTGAAACTTGATTTGTGTTAGACTGACATGAAAACTAAGGCATGTCATTGTAAGTTAGCAAAGTTTATGGTGTGCTGTATGCCATTCTGGTTCAAATAATGTGAGTTCCTGAAATTTTCCCTAAAGGAGCTATTTCTATTTTGTTAATTACTCTTTGATATGATTTCTACTACCTTTATCGCTATGGAAATGGAGTTGAAAGGAGGCAGTGAGCCTTTATTTTTCTTAGGAAAAAGAGGAGATTCAGAAACAGCATTATGGCAAACCAGGAGTCACAATCTAGTTGATACCATGGCTCTGATACCATGAGGTTGTTCTCAAAGACTGGGAAGTGGAAGTGGTGGGAGGGCACATTGGGGAGCACACCCTGGGCCAGCCCCACCTCGCTGGGGTGGCAGTGCCCACCAGACACCTTGCTCCAGGCTCCTGCTCCAGGCTCTCCAGAGGGCATCTGGCTCCACATCACCTTCACATAAACCTCTCTGGCGGGAGTGAGCAGCAGCATAGCTAACATGGACATGGGAGAATGGAGAAGGAGGGAGGTCAGGCAAGAACAGGGAAAATATCAGGCCATTTTTTACAAAGACTTCTGCCTACTTACTGCTAACTGCACGCTCTGTTTGTTTATTCACATATGCAAATTATATGTAAATAAAGACAAAATTATGATGTTTTTCCTGACTTTTGAGTGTTTGCTATTTTTTAAATATCAGACTGTTGTTAAGTTTTCCCAAAAATTATTTCTCATGAGCCGAGGCACATGTCAGATTGCGTGCACGACAGCTACAGCAGGAATGTCCCAGGCTGAGTGTAAGCTAAATATTTGTTGCACGGGTCTAATGGTTCTGTAGTGGCTTTACATGGAGGACTGCAACCACAAGAGTCTAAAAGGAATTTCTATCTTATGAATACAAAAGGTAGCACCCACAAACTTTGTAACCTCCTAATTAAATCTGCAGGTCTAGAGGAAGACAGCTGGACCTAGCTGCTTTGGATCTTTATTTTTTAATCAGGAAAGAAAAAATTAAGCTTTTTTTTACTCACTCAGCCCAGGACTGACATATCTTCTAGATTTAAGGTTTAAAATTGCTTTCTATTCCTTACAATTCAGTGGAACAGGAGGTGCAGAGAGAGCCCAATCTACCCTATTGCCACACAAATACCTTGATCATTTTGAAGTATCACAAGTAGGTTTCCAAGACAAAAGCATGGGGCTTTGACTATAACTTCTCCCTATCAAAATAGAAATCTTTTATCCTACTTTCAATCATAGCAAACTCAGGTCAATGATAGGCATAAATTACCAAAAATAAGTTTTAAATTATTATTTTAGTTACATTCTGGCTCTCCTACAAATGTTGTGTCCTTCCTTTTCCCCACACTGGGACCCCCAGCAGTTGTTTTGAAAGGACTGATACTCACCTGAAAAGGAAGAAGTGTTTCATCTACCATCTGCCATTGTTTTCCCTCTTGGTCAGTTTATGTGCACAACTAACACTTGCACAATCCACAGGGTTTTCAGTAAGCAAGTCATGGTCATTCAAGTAGGCATGGCCTTAACTTTAAAAAGTTCTATTTCCCCTCAGTAAGACAAATAATAACCTTGACATGACTTACTTTCCATTTAACTGTATTCAAGAAAATGAGTTAGGAGTAAATTCACAAACAAAAAAGTAAAATGTTAATGGAGACCTTTTCTCTGCATAATCCAGCTGTTTTCTTCTGTGTTGTTTCCCCCCTTGAAATAAAGGAAAGCAATTTTTACTGTTTGCCAGCTACCCTAGCCAAACAGCCTAGAGAGAAAGGGGAAGCATGGTGAAGGACCAAAGGAAATGAGAATTGCATAGTCTGAATTACCTGTCAAATAAGCCAGAAACAGGCTTTAAATTAAAAATAAAACACAAAAAAAGCAAAATTACAATTTAATGATTGCTGATGCACATCAGCAATGTGTAACAACAAAGATTCTCACCCAAGATTTTGTAATTCACTTCAAGAATCCATGTCCCAAATTTTGCATGGAGTGCCTTAATTAAACAGATATATATACCTGGGTTTCTATTCCACTGTGGACTTTGTCAGAAGGAAAGGGTAAAGCATACACACTGATGGAAACTCTATCCTGTTTCCCCAAATGGAAAGGGCTATTAATCAGGATCTTATTGAGTCCATTGTATTGAATCCATCAACTGAAGTTTGCATTGCAAACATGAGAGTTATACACACTAAACTCATTAAACATCTACCTACACTTTTAGGTAGGGTATATTTTCTATCCTGTCACCGAGGTCATCTGAGCCTCTGTTCCTACAGTAAAGTAGACTAAGAATGGGAGCTGCTGCTCTGGTGCAAAACTGCACCTCACATGAGTATAAAAAGCCATGATGCTCCCACAACTGCACAGATCAAAGATCGAGCTCTAGACAGAGCCATACATCAGTTTAGGTTTGGAGCCTCTCATTTGCATGAACCCATTATGTAGAGAAGTCCCTGGTTATATGGTGAACACATTCACACTTGTTACTACAGCCTGAAGGGGATCTGGGTCACTGTTTTCCTATCTGCATCTCGGTCTCAAGAGAGGCATGAGATTAAAAGGCCGAAACTCAGTCTCCTAAGTGGGACTGCCTTGCTTCATTTTTTAGAAGGTTAATAAATTAGTAACTAGTAGCACATTTTTCTTCTTCTTTCCCAATAACATGAATACATCTAGTGCTAATATCCAACAATCATTCTATTCAGAAATAGCTTCACAAATTATTTTTTTTAAATCTCAAGAACACAAAGACAGTAGTAACTGTACAACTGGAAAAATCACCCATATTCTACATCCATACATAGAATAAAATATTTCCATCCAGAATAAACCTTATTTAGTCACAACTCAAGGTACTGTGTCAGAAAGCAAGGCAATATCCTCATTCCCAACACACTGAAAGATTACAGCAGGGATTTGAGTAATGGGACACTTCTGTCAGCCACTAGTGAGCTGAGATCCTCAGATGGAGAAACACAGAAATTCCAGGTGTTTTGGTCTAGCTCTGGACCAAATTTTATGTTGTTAGAATACTCCAGGGCATACAATATTGTGATGTTAGCGTATTTGTTTTCCTTCAATCTCATTCTTTCAACCACCCAAGAAGTATATTATTACCACAATAAAAAAATGCCCTAGAAGGTCTTCAGCTTTTTAAAATAACATTTATATGAAAAGAAATTGGCTTGAGATTCTTCTCCTTATGTTCTTAAATACAACCTATATGCAAGATAAAGCTCACTCACTTCTAATAATAAAACGTAAGTTTTCCCAGATCAAGTGGTAAATCTTGCCTCCAAAATTTCTGCCTACTCCATCCTTTAGTATAATGGGCAGCATCAGAAATCACAGTCTTTGTTTTGCCTCTATGACAGCCATATCTGTTGACTAATATACTTCATTGTGCGTGCCTTTATG